CACCCCCCCCCCCCCCCCCCACACACGCACACACATATCGACACACACACAGACACAACAGGGGCTTCCCGTCTTGGCCCACCGACCCACCTTGTATCGCAGCAGTGCCCGCAGCAGCAGAAAGGTGAACTTGCCGTGACCTGAAGGAAGGAATCAACACGACAACAAAACACACACAACGTGACACGTACGTGCGCACAACACGCCTTGCATTGCTCCCCCTCCTCTCCCCTGCTCTGCGTATGTCTGTGTGTCTGCTCAGGTAGGCACCTACCTGCGCCGATCTCTATGATGCGGACGGGCTGCGATTTGTCCACCCCAGCACACTGACACCAACACCACACACACACGAACACACGAACACGCCTGCACCTGTGTGTGTTGGCATGGCATTGGGTGAGGGGTGTGTGGTGTGTGCGTACCGCAAACCAATCGCGGAGGTGGTTCGTGATCAGCCTCCCATACGACTGAGCCAACCTGCACGCGTCAACACACACAAAGGGCATCTAGGGGCGTGTGTATGTGTGTGGAGTGTGTGAATTCCATCCATCCCCACCGTGAGTTGCTCGTCACGAAGCTCGGCACTACGTTCTGCGTCCACGCAGCTATAGCCATCTACACAACAGTCGGACCAGTCCACACACATGGATTGATTGATGAGTGCATCGTAATGGGTTCCTGTTTGTCCTCCACACCCTCACTGGTAGTATGTAGCCCGGGTACTACCTACCTTGGCATAGTAGCTCTTGAGAAGCTTCCACATGAGGCTCTTGGGCAGCGGCGTCCGCTCCTCCAGCACGAACTTGCTGTCGGGCTGCTGCTCAACCGGCATCTCGCCGCCCGATGACGCCACCTGCGTCACGGGCATCACGATGCCCTGCGGCGACGCCATCGCCCCGACGAGTGGCCCTCTCCCGCTAAGACCACACAAAAGCTCGCAGATGGTTTGGCGAGGAAATCGAGGCGGCCAGGGAGGAGGGGACGAGAGCGGCAGGAGAAAAGCAGCGACGAGAAGCGTACGCGGGGAATTGCTGGGCTGTGCGACGAGAGATGGACGCAGGTGTGGCGAAGCCTCAGTCGAGTCTTCCTCTGCAGATCTTCATCTACTTCGATGGGTATTGGTCGGCCCTCTACTTCGCCATCGAAGTACTCCTCTTCACTTACAAAGGTCAGTCAGTGACACCACACGGATGGATGGACTCTGTGGATGGATGGATGGATGGATGGATGGATTGATGGTGTGCAGGGGTGGTGTTGCGCTACCCGCCCTCGACGTGGCCGGGGGAGTTCACCATGGTGGTGCTGTTCGCAGTGTTCCAGAAGATACGACTATACCTCGGTCAGCACAGACACACACAACACACACACAAGTGTGTGCACCGACGGCCGGTTCTACGGGGTGGTGTGTGTGCAGGGACGGCGGGCAACAAGACGGAGCAGCTTGGGGGTATTCTGTGGTTTGTGTTGCTGACCATCCCCGTGGTGCTCATACTCATGTACCTCCTCGAGTTCCAAGTCTACGTGTACGTACGCCTTATCCATCCATCCATCCATCCATTCCCATCCCACAGGGGCGATGTGTGTGTGCGTGTGTGTGTGGATCAACCAGGTTGCGGTTCGAGGTGTTTCTGGCGATTACGGGTATCTGTTTCGTTGGGGTAGAGTTCTTCCTGGCACTCATAGCGGCATGCTTCTTCACTAGAAGGGCCGTCTGATGGATGATGGATGGATGGATGGATGGATGGACAGATAGCTGGCCACACATGGATGGACTGGATGGAGGGTGTTCCACAGACACCTACGTGTCTAGAGCAGCACAATGTGATAAATACTCTTTTGTCGGCATGTTGGAATCACATATTGCAGGCAGGAGCACATACACACACATATACATAACACAGTGGTGCGCGCCTCAAGCGCACTCATGTGTCAAACCTCGCTTGCAAACCAGACAGACAGAAGACGCGGCAGATCCCTCGTCAAAATCCATATAGCCAGGGCTATTGCCATCTGCCCGGGCTAGGTGGATGATGGTGATGGTGGGGCATGGGCATGGGTATGTCGGGCTGCTCAATCAGGTGCCGGAAGAGACACTTGACGTCTCTCTGAATATCTGAGCACACACCACACACCACACACACACACACACACACAAACATCCATCCGTCCATCCATCCATCCATCCAGATTTGCCAGATGTGTGTGTGAGTCGGCAGGGCGCCCAACCGGCTTGCAGCTGCATGTTGGTCTGCATTTGTCTCTGCAGCGAGGCCTCCAGCAAACGGACCTCCTCCAAATCAACAGCCAGACCCTTCAGCTCCTGCACAACCATTCGAGTAAAGAGTCGAGCAGACGTCCCCACACATGCCCGCCAGCCCATCTCCTCTCGTCTCACCCGACATATCTCGGTGTCGTCCGGCAGTTTCTGCAGTGCCTGCATCCACATGTCTCGCCACTCGTCCTCCTCACTCGGCTGCCGCTCACCCTCACCCCCGCCCGTCCCGCCGCCCCATGCACACGCACCCCCTCCAGTAGTGTCTACTGCCGGACCGACATCTGGCGGGTCGCTGGCCAGGCCCATGTCGACCATAGGCGCCGAGTTCTGCGGGTTGTTGTGAGACCGGTGCGATCTGTCGGATGGGATGGGATGGGGCTGCTGAGCTCTCGGCCCCCCTCCCTGCTCAATGTCGTCCGTGATCGGGGGGCACTCCTCCGTCATCTCCGTCAGTGTCCGTGTGGTGTGGTACTTGAACACCGACAAAGATGGCTCGGGCGGTGCCTGCGGTCTCTGCGGCAGGGGAAGGGGCGGACTGTGTGGGGAGGACAGAGACACGGGCAGGTTGGTGGGCTCCAGGGATGGTGTGTCACTTGGTCGGACACATGGGTCAGCAGGGGGCAGCCGAGTGGCTGAGGGGGGAGGGGGTGGTGGGCGGGGAGGCAGCGCCTGGAGGGGCGGAGGCTGCATGCCGTGGATGGGCTCCTCCTGACATATCCACGAGTGACACATGAGATGTCGCTGTCTTTTTCCGGAGCGGATGGCTCACCACAACAGTCACGGGAATCGTTCGCTGGGGTGTTTCGTCAGCATCGGACGCCATGCCAGAGGGCACCCCGGGCAGCGACACGCTCTCGTCCGTCATCGGCATGGGCGCCCAAGGTCTCTCCTTGTCGAATTTCATGCTCACGCTCTTCTTGAATTTCTTGGAGCTGTCCTTTCTGTCCGAGTCCTGGTGGCCCGTCTCGATGCCCATGACAGTGGCCACATCCCGCGACTCCTGCCGCTCCTTCTTGGGCAGCATGGCCTGTCGAGAAGAGCTGCTGGGGGGCGCAGCGCCCACCGAGTAGCGCAGGGCGGTGCTGCCGGCTGTGTTGCGTCTGCCCGAGTCGCCGGTAGGCATGCGCATCGTCCGCCGGCGGCTGAGCGACTCGGTCATCTCGTCCTCCATTTGCTGAAGGAAAGTGGGAGAATGGAGCGCTGGTGCTGGTTGTCCTTTTTGTCTGTTTTGTACCATGTAGACTTCTTGGAATTTGTTGCCGATGATGGCGACAGGCAAAGCGATAAACTGCAAACACGTATATTTGCCTCCCGTCTCCACTCGTGTGTCATTTTCATCGGCCACTCACCAGAATTCCCGCGAGCATGGCTGCAGTGGCCACCACTTTGCCCCAGCCAGTCTGAGGATACACATCACCTGAGGTCATGAGGACAAGGAAAGGACACCTAAGACCCTTGGCGACGTCGATCGTACACCTATGAAATCGCTGACCGTATCCGACGGTGCACATGGTCACCACAGCCCACCAGAATGTCGCTGGGATCGACGGAAAGAATCTAGGAGCGGGCAAGCGGCGGGATAAGTGCCTCCTCGTTCAGAGGTATTTGCCAGTGTCTGCAGTGTGCTCACTGTGAAGGCTCCACTCGCTTCTCGGCTTCGTACATGGCAGACGAAAACAGTATGATGCCTGCATGGCACGAAAGCGATATTCACCGACATTTCCCTGAGATGTGTGCCTTTCGTGCCGGTCAGGGGAGACATACCGATGGCGAGGAAGAAGACGAGGATCCACAACGCCTGGATGGACCTCTTCAGGCCCTCGCCCATCAGCTGACAACCAACACAGGGGAAGCCATTTCTTTGGCTGACAATCACACTTGGCAAACCGATATAAGTCGCTCACCCGCAGGCCGACAGAGTAGCGGGACAGCTTGAATATTCTGAAGACGCGAATCAGGCGGACAACCCGCAACACGCGAAAGCCTCCCAAAGCAAACTGACGAGCGACGAGACACTCATGTGCGCTTGCCGGTCCTTTCGAGGATGTGTGAGTGTTTTCCCTTCCATGTGTCTCACCGAGGAGAGCATCAGCCTCACATAATAGGGAGCAAATGCCAGAAGGTCAAACCAATTCATCCAGCCTGCAGACTCAGGGAGACAGACACACACATACACACATACACACATGTGCAGACCAGACAGACCGGTTGGTTCAGAGAGTTCGCCTACTTTACTCACTGGTGAGGAAGATTTTCAGCGTGTATTCCGGAACGATGTTGACGACGCTGAGCCGCAGAACAAACTCGAGCGTGAAGAGCCCCACTGTGGTGCCCTCGATGGCCTCCCACACCCTCAAAGGCACCACATCATTCAACTCGGGCATCGTCTCCTTCACACAGGCCGACCGATGTTTGTTCCTTCGCCCACTCCTCGTTCTGTGTCTGTCTGTGGTACTCACCAGCATGAAGGCTGTGACCGAGACGGCGATCAGGAGCATGATAGCGATGGATATCACGGTGGCCACTTGGCTGCTGTCAGGCACCTCCAGCAGCAAATAGATGCGCTTCTTGGCTCCCTCTACCCGCAGCAGAAACTGCTGCCACTTGTTGTCTTGCAGCTCGGCCGTCAGCTCTCGAGTGGACAGGAACGTCGCGATGCGGCTGCGTGTCCACCTTTTGCTGCGACAGACACACAGAAGACAGTCACTCACGCACAATGTCTTGTGTGTGTATGTGTGTATCTGTGCCCACGAGGTTTGGAGGAATTTGCCATTGGGTGAGCATGGGTCCGTCTCAGTCGATGCCCGCGATGTCGGCGAGACGCTCTGATCCCGCTCTATCTGCGTCCGCAGCCTCTCGACCTGGTCACGCTGCATAAACACCGCCGGCATCTTCACGTCAGGTGGGTGACGGCCAAGCGGTGCTCTGCAGAGTCAGAGGGGCCTGGTGGGTGGAGGAGATCAGGCAGGGCACTGCATGCGCCCTGATCCCGATACTCACAGCAGCAACAGCACTGCTACCTTGACAAAGTGTGCTGTGGCTGGACTGAATCCAAGAGTGTGCCGAAGGCGTCGAAAGAGCTCAACGGCAGACACGTCTGCATGCGGGGGGGGGCCAAAAAGAGCCCCCAGCGATCTTCCCGGAACCTCCCCCCCGGATCCTTCCGAAGCGTGATAGCGCGTTGCAGTGGCCAATAGGTCCGTTGGTCGGCCCCTGACTCTGTTCTTGCCTCCCCTCTGGTCGCCAGGATGATGAACACTCGTCGCATGATGGAGCGGCGGATAGAGAAAGAGCGCGACCGCGAGGCGCAGCTGGGCGGCATCGAGAAGATGCTCTTCGAGCAGGCACTCACCAACACGGCCGCTCGCAGCGATGCAAGGGTGGAGGCCATGAGGAGGCAGAGGCTGCGTGAGCAGGAGGAGACCGAACTCAGGCAGGACGCGCTATTCATTCAGGTGGGCGGGCCGCCAGACAGACATACGGGCAGACGGGCAGACAGCAGGCAGGCATCATTGCATATATTGTTTCTGTGTCTGGGTTGTGTCTGCGATTCGTCAGCGTATGCAGGAGCAGGAGCGTCGTCAGAAGCTCACTGAGATGGAGGACAGACTCGCGAGGGTAGGCAGCGTCTGCACCGACAAGATCACGCCAGCTGCCTCTCCTTGTCTGTGTGCTCAGGAGCTGGAGCGTCGCAAGGCCGAGCAAATCCGCGAGTATCAGAACAGACAGAGGGTAGGTGCCGCCAAGGTATGTCGCACAACTGGTGCATGTGTGTGCGTGTCTGTGCTTGGCTGGAGGTGATCAATGGGAGCGACGAGATTCGTGACCTGAAGGCCAAGCTGGAGGCTGCCCGAGTCACCAAGGAGAGGGCGGCACAGTTGCTGGAGCAGCAGATCAGAGAGGAGGAGGAGAGGGTGAGAGAGAGAGAGAGAGAGAGAGACCAAAACGGGTGGCACACCACATGTGTTCTCTGTGTGTGTTCCTCAGTGGCATGAGAGGGTGTTGGCTGAGCGGATGGAGGAGGAGCGGCTCAAGGCCCTCGAGCATGAAGTCGCCAAGGAACAGTCCACCGAAAACGTCAAATACCAAACCAAACTGGTCAGTCTGTCGGCACCAGACTACCACTTCACGTATGCCTTTGCTGGGTACGTGTGTGTGTGTGTGTGTGTGTGTGTGATTGTGTGTGCAGATGCAGCAGGACCAGATCCGTCTTCGCGAGAAGGCCAAGGAGGAGTCGATGGCAGAGTACATCCGCGAGAAGGAACAGGTTGAACAAATCGTCGAGAAAATCAGACTAGAGGACCAGCGGTATGGACGTACACACACACTCGCCGACCCTCCCACACGCATTTGCCGACGCCCAACCACATGTGTGTGTGTGTGCAGTGAGGTGGAGGAGCGACTGGCCCGGCAGGCAGAGGCTCAGCGTGAGTTGGCGCTGTTCATCCAGCAAAAGGACGAGGAGAGGCGCATGCAGCAAATTAAGGAAGAGGAGGAACTCAGGTACACGAACACCCCACACACACCCGCACGCGCCACAGTGGCCGTCTGCACCTCCCGTTGTGTGTGTGTGTCAGGAAAATCGAGGAGTTTGCGCGCATGAAGCGTGAGCGTGAGGAGCGGATTGAGCGAGAGAGGAAACAGGTGACGATCAGACAGACAGACACCTATGGACCTGCACCACAGGCACCCTAATATATCGGCCATGTGTGTGTCAGGCTGAGGAGGAGAAGAAGCGCATCCTCAACGAGCTGTGCAGACAGCAGGTCAACACACATACACACACCACCGTACCATGACGTACTCATTATTCCCGTGTGTGTCTATGCTGTGTGCGTCCAGGCCGAGCGCAATGCCGAGAGAGAAGAGCTCGAGTATCTCCGAGACGAGCTATACAGGTGCCTATCGACAGGCAGGCAGGCAGGCAGGCATTTTTGTATTGCGTGTGTTGATCGGTGGGTCGGTTGGTGTGTGTCAGGGAGGAGCGTGAGGCGCTGGATCGCGCCAAAGACGAGGCTGCCCTCAAGAAGGCCATCGAAGACAGGTTCCAGATGATGAAGGCGTTCGAACAACAGGTCGGTCACACACCAACACGTGAATGTGAACTAGCACATGGCATACGGATGTTGGCTGTCTTGTTTGCCTTTGTGTGTGGCAGATGGCTGAGAAGGAGGAGCGGAAGCTGCAGCGGGCTGAGGAGGAACGCAAATTCAGAGACATCATGCTCGTAAGCAACCACACACACACACAGAGATCCAACACGCACCAGCCACTTCTCTGGTCATTCGAGTGACTGGCTGTCTGTCTTGTTGTGCGTGTTGGCCAGGCCAAGTTTGCTGAGGATGATCGCATAGAGCAGATGAACGACCAGAAGAGACGAATCAAGATACAGGAACACAAACGAGAGGTGCGGTAGGGAACTGACAACACACCACACCTGAACTACCCACCGTTCCACTGATGGTCCATATATCTGAGTTTGTGCAGGTGGAGCGTTTGGTCGACATCCGTCGCCAGATGTACCAGGAGGAGCGCGAGAACGAGCTGCGCGAACGGGCCAGGCTGCAGGAGGAAGAGGCACAGAAACAGAGGTCACACAAAGGCCGCAACCATCCCCCTTTCTCCGCGCACACACGCAGTCAACGACGGGGTGTGTATGTGTGTATGTGTTGTGGTTCAGGATCATCGAGGAGGAGAGGAAGCGGCTGCTCCGGGAACATGCGGCTGGACTCAAGGTGGGTAGAGGGTGGGCAGGCAGACGCCCTCACCTGACCGACCAACACGATCAGAATCATATGGGTTTGCTGTTTACGGCATCCATCTGTTGTCCAGGATTTCCTGCCCAAGGGCACCTTGCAGAAGCGGGAGGACGTGGACCTTCTGGACCAAGCTGCACAGGCCAAAGTCAAGGCCAGACGAGAGGCCAAGTAGCCGTGTTGCTGCGGCGGTGGTTTGTGCTGACACATGAGGGTGTCAATGATTGTGACCGTCCTTGCGTGCATTGCCAAAGTGGTTACCTTCGGTCTCTGCCGATGTCTGTTCGTCTGTCCCCCATTGTGCGTGTGTGACTGACGATAGCCTCCCTGTACATACCGAGTCAGACTTATGGCGCGCGATCGACATGCATGTGATCTTGCCCCCGCACCAAACCCAGCCGAGTCCGTGAAGTCATTCCGTTTTCTCTCTCTGGGAAGCACACGATGCGAGGGCCCATTTGCTGCGCCTCCAGCCCCACCATGAGGGCCCAGCAACAACAACCCCCTCCCCCTCCCCTGCCAGCCCCCCAACGAGGTCTGTCGTGGGGGTGCACACCCATCCCCTCCAACCACAATGCAGCCAGGCCACGGAACACCGTGCAGCCACCGATCCAGGTGAAGAATACAGCCACTTTGCACTGCGGAGAAAGCGCTCCATGTTGGATGACATTGCGTGCAGGATGGCGATCAGAGCCATCGGCAGAGGAGGAGGGGCTGGTGCATTGACCCTCCCAACGAACAGACCCAGCCTCGAGCTCCTCCTCAATCGCCGCTGTGTGGCCCTCGTCCTATGGCCCCTCCGTTGCCGGTGGGTGAGGTTGCACTGGCAACAAAGACTGCATGGTTGCATGGTCCTGATCTGGCTTGATGCAGGCAGAGGAGGCGGGAATGGTCCGCCAGCGAGGTTTCGGCAGGGGGGGCTCGGTCAGTGTCCCTCACCTTCCCCCCGGACACCCGCAGCTGGTATGTACCCACTGATTCATCAGAATCATCACACCACGACCCATTTCTGTGCGTTGCCTCCTCTTTGTTCTTCCTTGCAGCCTCATTCTGTGCCAATTTTTCCCCCTGGCTTGCCGCCTCCCTCCACACCTCCCACCCCTATGGTGCAGCGACGTGTCCTCGGGTCGCTGTCGCCATTCGCCTCACCCATGCGGTCATTCACCCCTCAACCTCTTTCTCGGACGCCCAGTGTGCCGCACAACTTCCAGCTCAGGGCTTATCTTCGCTAGGCGGCACGCCATCCATCCCTATGGTCAACCCGCCGCCCCCCTCCACCACTGGGAAGGGCGGCAGCTTCGACTCTCTGAGCCCTCAGCCGTCGGTCATGCCTCCCTCCGGCCCCGTGACGCCCAAAATGATGGCCATGCAAGCGGCCGGGAGGTCGGCGCCTCCATTCATCCCGCCGTTGCAGCTGCCGCCTCATGCGCACGGCACTCCGCGGACCATGTCTCCCTTCTTCGGCCATCCTCCGCCGATGCGCAGAATGCCCATCCCCCACTGGCAGCCGATTGCCATTCCGGTGCATGGCGGCTACATCCTCGCCACGTCTCCCCTCGACAGCCCTCGGTTCAAGGACAAACACACGCAGACGGACGTCCTCATGAAGGCGAGGGAGCTGCTGGCGGGTCATGAGTCGCCCGTCACGTCGGTGATCCGGTCGCCTGCCCGTGGCGACGACAGGAGTGAGGTGCGGCAGGTCGACGAAAGTGGCGCGGGTCAGCCCTTTCTTGCAGCAAGCTTTGGAGTGCCAGACCGACAGCACGACGACCTCCCAATAGACCACGTGAGACGCAACACACGCACACACACCCATCCATCCGCTGATCCGGCGCCGTTGACCCTTTGCTCTTCCTCTGTCGATGCAGAAGTCTCTCATCCCTCCCCTGGACCTGGAGGCCACCCAGCCAGTCCGCCAAGAGCGCCTGCCGACAGGGGATGACGAGGTCCCCTTCCAGCCTGGTGCGACGCCCGTCGCCCTTGCGGATGTGAGTGGGCCGCCCGCACAGCGGCGCGTCAGAGTGAAGGCCAAGGCCAAACCAAAGGCAAGGGCAAAAGCTAGGGCCAAGGCGAAGGCCGGCAAGAAGAAGAGAAAGGTGAAAGAAAGAGAGAGACACACACACCGCGGCACAGAACATACACGTACACTTAGTTCCTTGTCTGCAGAAGCCGTTTGTGCCCCGCGTGGCGAGTCTGAGTCTGTCGGCGAGGTATAGCAAGGAGCTTGAGAAGCTGTCCAAGAGCCAGGAGTCGAGGAAAGACGATAGCAAGGACAAGAGGCGGAAGAGCAGCGCCATGAACAGGTCGCAGTCGCTCGGCGCAGTGCTCGAGGCCAAGCTGCACGAGTCGAAGAAGGGCAGCCTCACGGACAGCAGCACCAACATCCTGGACAAGTTTCTGCCCGTCTTGGTGAGGACAACGTGCAGAGAGACAGATGAAAGGATGTTTCATCATCGGATGTTCTCCTACTTTTTGTGTGTTGTGAATCAGGGAAGCTCCAAGAGCGGTCCGGCAGGCAGTCTGCTGGATGAGCTGACGCAGAGCACGTCCCCGCCGCTCGAAAAAGCACACAGGGTTGGCTTGACGCGAGTGCCGGTAGGCGAGACACACGGTGCCTGCCTGCCTGCCTGCAGTGAGAGTATAGGCATGTGTCTCACTCGCCTCTCCCTCCTGGCTGTCAGGTGCATGTTGCCCTGCCGCACTTCGCCGCGGCGAGCCACGGGCAGCCTTTGGACGTGACTAGGTTTGTGACCACGGCCCTCAACCTGCTGCAGGCATCGCAGATCCACAACCCATCCGCACAGACACTCACAAGTAAGAAGTACACACACATATACACATGAAGCGTGCATGTCACGGCTGTGCTTGGCAGGTCTGTTTAATATTCTGGATGCGTCTGTCAAAGGTAGCTTGGGCGTGACGGAGACGCTGTGCGCCATCGCCCTCCTCACAGAGGGACCCGCCATGCGCAGATTGCAGGGTAAGCTGAGGGGCACGTCCGTTGCATTGGATCGTGTGATACATGTGTGTGTGTTCTTTCAGTAGTGTTTGAGACCCTTGACTGGCGGAAGGAGGGCTCAATCAGCCCCCACCAGTTCAGCATATTCATCAAAATGGGTGCGTGGGGTGGTGGTGAGTGAGAGTGTGCGGCGAACGAGTTACAGTGAGAAATGTGTCTCTGTGTGTGACTGTTCGTTCCCTCCAGCCGTGAACGTGTTGAGTGTGCCCGCCACCGATATCCCGCCCTTCCCGATAGCCACCAAGCTCTCTTTCCACGAATTCACACAAAGGTAGGTAGGTGATCGATCGCTCCCCACCGCGCGCTCGTCCATCCATTCATCAGCGTTCGTTCGTTTCTCTCTGTCCAGGCTATCCTTCCTGTCTGTGCCCGACCACATCAGCCAGGCCGCCCCCCTGCCCCTGCGTATGACCACCGTGCCGCCCCAGCAGCCCGTCATGCCACGGCCGCCGCCCACAGCACCGGCTCAGTGGCACTACACACATGCATAATGGACACCTCTCTATAAGCGGATACTGTACCTGCCCTGTATGTGTATGTGTATGTGTGTGGATGAGAGTAGAGTCTAGTCCAGGAGAAGACTGCCTCTCTGTCTGTCGACTCCATGCTTTGCTTGAAAAACTAGTGAGTGCATCAAAGAAAGACCCTGATAAACAACAATGCACCCAGCAGGCACTCATACAATAACTAACGGCGTTTGGGAAGTCTCGATGGCGAGACAAACACATACACGGATACACACACTCACCCAGACACACAAGGCTACTTCTTTGAAACCGACACAACTTGAGCAAAGTCACGAGAAGCCATTGATCATGGTCCTCAATATGATGCACAAGCCCCCCCCCCCCCCCCCCCC